ACCGCGTAGTATATTTAGATCATGTATCACCAACTGCCCCAATTGTCCACTTTGATTAGCTATGCGTGATGTGTACTAGGGCCCTGAGAGAAGTGGTTTGCTGAGCCACAATGTGGCCATATTTTTTGCAGCCTTTGTGCAGGAGTACAGGTTGCAAAAACTTCAGATAATTCAAATGAACTCCTCGGGTGCCCTCAAGTCTGAATCATCGAGAACCAACAGTAGAAATCAAATGAAAGCCATACAAGACTTCCCCATCTTCAATTTCACAACTATTTTAGCCTTACCCTGACTTGTGGCAATCACCATTACACACATAGTTGCAAAAGATGCAACAAGCAAGACATACATGTTTTTCTCTAAACCAACCATGCAAATCAAGAGCTATGCTTGGTTTGATTCACAGCCAAAGCTAAGCATCACTGATGCACGTCACCACACATGCACGTCACCACATCACTACATTGCATGTATTTTCTCCCTGGCACATTCACATGCTTTCACACCTATTTTTTTTTTAATGCAGCAATGCACGTATGAACACTATACGATGTAGATTGAAGGGGCCCTGCAACACTTTCTCAAGCTATTACCGAATGACCTTTTTGAAGTTACTATTACTTTTTAATTACTGTTCAAGTTACTATTACTGAGGTTACTTTTAATTGATTGATATGTGAGGCGTAACGTCCCAAAACCACCATATGATTATGAGAGAGGCCGTAGTGGAGCGCTCCAGAAATTTTGACCCCCTGGGGTTCTTTAACGAGCGCCCAGATCTGAGCACACGGGCCTACAACATTTTGGCCTCCATCAAAAATGCAGCCGCCGCAGCAGATCGCCCCGGTGGTCTAGTGGCTAAAGTACTCGGCTGGTGACCTGCAGGTCAGCAGCCGAGTACTTTAGCCACTAGACCACCGGGGCGATCTGAAGTTACTATTACTACTGTAAAAAAAGATAAAAAAGCCTAGGTGACAATTGGGGCACAGCAATCTACCGGCTCCATAAGCTCATCAAGCGACTCTCGCGTCAGGACGGCCTAATTGAGCATTAAGACGTGACTATACATCAATACTGGCAAATGGGACATGCTGAAGTGGTGCCCGAGCTACAATCTGATAATGCTGTGAACTACATGTTGCATTGCGAGGTTGTACGAGAAGACTCGCTGACCAAGAAACTTCGGGTAAAGTTCGACATCTCATCGCATGAAAAGGGATACATACCATTAAACAACTGTTTGGACACGGGTACAAATGTCAATCCGGATCTGCTTCAAGTGTTGCATCGTTTTTGATGCCACCCAATAGCCATCAATGCCGACATTGAGAAAGCTTTCCTGTAGATAGAAATACAGGAATCGAATGAAAATGCATTTAATTGTATATGGTTCGGGAACATGCCCCAAGGTGAAAACGACAACATTATCGAGTGGCGAATGACACGTGTGGCATTCGGATTGACGTCAAGTCCTTTCCTGCTGATGGCAATGATACACCACCACCCGGACAACGTAAGCGGTGAGCAACAAACCTTGGCTCGGACACTGAAGCAGAGTTTCTACGTGGACGACCTGCTCGTAGGAGCCGACAGTTTTGACGAAGATCAAGACGTGTACGAAAAAGCAAAGTCGATTTTGGAAGATGCTGCGATGAACCTCTGAAAGTGGAAGACAAACAATGCTCGACTCCAGGAAGTGTTCTCGAAAAACGAAGAGTGCCTGAAAGGATTGTACAGTGCTTCCGCAAAGGTTCTAGGATGCTATAGAACGTCGAAGACTATTACTTGGCAAGTTCTTCAAAGTCTGTCACGCAGTTCCTGCTTCCGATTAAGGAGCACTCAAAGTGGACCACCTTAAGAACAGCTTCCAGAATATTCGATCCTCTCGGTATTCCAGTTACCAATGAAAACCGAGAAGTTATGAAAAGAATGGTGTACTGAAGTTGCTCAGTTATGCTGTATTAAGATACCGCAATACGTCATAAGTCATCCGAAGGAAGAAATCACCATGACGCAATATCTCGATGCTAGTCCAAAGGCCTATGGAGCATGCACGTACCTTGGAGCGATGGACATCAATGGTAACTGTAGTACAAAGATTATCGTTGCTAAGTCTCGTGTGACACCTACAAAAGCCTTGACCATGCCAAAGTTGGAACTAGTGGGTCCACTTGTTAGAGCGGGACTGTAAAATACCTCAGGAAGTCTTGGAACACGGTTCACTTGTCACGTACAATGTGGTCAGACTCGACAATTCTTCTGAGCTGGATTCGGGCACAGGAAGATGAACTCAGCCCCTTTGTGAGAAACAGAGTGGCCGAGATAGCAGACTGTACCGACAGAGGGCAATGGCGTTAATGTCCTGGGGAAAGAGCCCATCCGATTATCTAACTCGGAGATTATCTGCGGCCGCGCTTCGGGAAAGCATCAACTGGCGGAACGGCCCAGAATGGTTAATTCAACCTGAAACTCTTGGCCAGTTGAGCCCGCTTTAGTTGCCACCCAATAAGACTGCTACGAACCAGAAACTCTGCAGACAGAACTACTGCTACAGATGCAAGAACCCCTTAAGATGTCAAACGCCAAGAAGAAGTAAAACATCTTGACCAGGCTTCTTTGCGTCACAGCGTTAGCGTACATATTTTTAAAAAGGACCCGGAGCACAAGTGAACCGCATACAGAAGAGCTGCAGAAGAGCTGAATATGGCGGAGAAGTTTTGGATAGTAAGAGCACAGCGAAAAGCTTTCTCTCAAGACATAGAGCAACTGTCCAACGAACGCGCTATCTCAAGGTGGTCAATTCTTCATGACCTGCATCCATTTTTGGATACAGAAGGACAACTTAATCTACATGACAGAGACCGCGACTTTCAATTCAAGAAAAACATTCACTGATTTCGCTTCAGGACCATGAATTCATGAGACTGGTAATCATGGACGCACATTGCCATGTTTTACATGGTCAAATATCAGCCACACTGACGGTACTTCGTGAACCATTCTGGATTGTTCATGCACGCCAGGAGAAAGTTGATCAATAATTGTTACCTTTGCAAATGATTCAGAACGGAGACCATGAATGTAGAACATGCCCCACAGCCGAAAAATTGAGCTACTACAACACGCCCGTTTGAAGTTGTCGGAATCGACTTTGCAAGCCTATTATATATATATATGAAGTTCAATCAGAGAGAACCAAAATGTACCAAGGTTTACATTGTGCTATTTGCCTGCGCAACCACAAGAGCAGTACATCTAAAGCTGTCAGATTCTCTCTCATCGGACAGTTTTCTTCTTACTTTCAGGAGGTTTCTTGCTCGCAGAAGAGTGCCTATTAATACTCGGACAAGGCATTGACGTTCAAGAAGGCAAGCAAAGAACAACAAGACATAGGAAAGCTTATCAGTGGATCCCCGTTTGCTGCATTTCTTGCCAATCATCGAATATCATGGAAATTTCTTGTGCCTAACGCTCTACGGTGGGGCGGCTTGTGGGAAACGCTCATCCGGTCGATCAAGTCAGCTCTTCATAAAGTGCTCGGGAAAAGCAGCTTAGGAAGCAAAGAACTGATGACGTTACTTCAAGAAGTCGAAGCTGTTATCGATTCCCGTCCTCTGACATACATGTACATGCAGGCAGAGGAACCGTCACCGGCGTGCCCGGCTCAATTCTCGTCCAAAGTCCAGTCCTGGCTCATCCGGATCCTAGTCCATGTGAAACTTCAACCTGGCCGCAAACTAATAGGAATAGTGTTGTCCGGAAGCTGGGGCATCGTCAAAGACTACTGAATCATCTGTGGCAAAGATGGAGAAAAGAGCATCTCCTAGAACTGTGAAGATGGAGAGAAGAGTACCTCCTGGAACTGCGGTCTCTGCCTCGATATCCGCAAGAACGTAACCGAAGTTTAACAGTAGGCGAGGTCGTACAACTGCAAGACGACAAAAGGAATCGGTGCTTTTGGCCACTAGCATGAGTATTGGAAGTACATTCTGGTCGTGATGGACTGGTACGGGCTTACACCATCAAAACACAGAATGGAAAAGTGTTTAAGAGACCCACTCAGGCTCTGCATCACTTAGATATGTCCTCTACCTCCACGACGGAACAGGATGTGAAAAAAGATCATGTACAAATAAACGCTGCCAGCTAGTGAAAGGAAAAAAAGAAGAGCATTGTGTTTGATCATGGCAACAATGGCTTCTGGCTGAATAATTCCACGCCTGTTAACGTCATCGTGTCCACAACTACCTCACAAATTGACAGTCACAAAAAACTTTGAATCTATTAAGCACAAACTGAGCTACAAGGATTTTTTTCTTTTTGTTTGCTCCAAGAACCTTCTCTTTCCTTTCGTCCCGACAGGCACACTAAAAACTAGACAGGGGAAATTACAAGAGAACAAGAAGCCATGTGCGTGCAATGTGCAAATCATGGCTCTCAGCACTTCCTTTTCTCTTCTCTACAGCTCACTTTCAGTGTGATATGTGTAATGATGGCACTACAAAGCACAGAAGTGCCACACTTGGGTACCCTGCGGCGGCAGTGAGTATACCAATCAAGGTGCCCAAATCCACCAGTCACGTCCATGTGCTTATGACACAAGAGAAGAGTGAGCTACATCTAGCTGACCTTAAACTTAATTGAAGGTTCCCTACCATATATGTGCTTTGACATTCGCCTCACATGTTTGCAGTAACCTCGACTAGTAATTGGCAGCATTCTTCTGACCATGCACCAAAGTACTTCAGGGCCTCTTTGATGTGCACCAGTTCACTGTGCAGCAGATACTGGCACAGTGCACTAGTATGTGAGTGAAGATATTGCGCTTCCTTCTTTCATCACTCACACACTAACTGTGATGGGTCCTAACCCACGTTTCAGTAAAAATTTGTGGAAACCACCAAGAAAGAAATCATATGCTGTTCTCATGCAAAAAGATTCCAATAGTTATCCTTGCCACTGGAAGAAGCACCTAAATTCTGTATGTCATCCCCACTCACCCAGGGTAAACATCCGGTCCATTGATGACTGCTCTTCTCAACTCTGCTATGTTGCGCTCAGTGACGGGCTCCGGGTAGGACAGCTTGGTGGCAAACACCATGGGCACACCAATCTCCTCGACATCGATGTACGGATCTGGCGAGATCACCGAGCGTGCCGCATAGTTGACACGCTTACCCATCATGTGCTTGCGGAACAGTCCTTCTTTTTTTTCCAGAATCTGAAAGGGACAAATGCACTTGCACCTCTCCCACTGCTCAGGCATCACTAGCGAAGTTTGTACAGGATCCCAAAGCAGACATTCCAGGATATTCAAGGCCTTTCCGGGACCTGTCACAGGTTTTCCAAGGACTCAATAGAGCATCCAAAAATAGAATTTTTTTTCTCTAAAATTTCCAAAAATGATTCATTTTATTGCCTTTACAATAAATTTATGAATATCGCAATTATCACAAAATTGTCGTCTCCCTATAGCTCTCTCTAGCTTCCTTACACACAGCAACAACTTTTACTGAAAGCACTGTGGGAGCTACAGAACCGAAGCAAGGGAGTGACATACCCATATAGCCAATGGGGACGAAAATTGGACGCGACCATGGCGCCGTCTCAATTCTGTCGATAATCTTTAAAACATTGGGATATTACTATTTTACTTATAATTGAAAAAGTTTTTATTATCTTTTACTCTCATAAATTTTTCAATCAAATAACAATTAAGAATATTGTTTGTATAATCTATTGCTGTGCATAAAATGAAATAGTCTTCAAAGGCACAAGGGCGTTTTGATGTGGAGGTTGGCACTCCGCATAGCAGACGACACCATCGTCATCTGCTTCTACGTCATGGCTGCCCCCGCTCACTGCTGCAGCCCCCTTTCTCAATTTTTCTCATTTCTATAGAGTACATAGCAGTATACAACTTACTACAAGCTCATAAGTATATTGCATACTTACTTTAGTAACTTGTGATGCTGCATATACAGGCCGAGCGAAATGACAACACTGATCACACAAGCTTACAGCAATAAATCGTTATATCGCGAGTCAATCGATCGATGTTTATATAAAATAAAGGCCATGTAAATGACATTCGAGCATGTACAGCAATAAACAATATGCATGCATCAGCGTTCATGTGCAAACAAAGTACGCACTACGCATAGCCCCAACGCAGATGCCCGGAGCCCAGAAGCCGTCCAGTGCTGGCTGATATTCATACTGGCCTCCACGAAACCATCGCTGGGGTAAGTAAAGGTATACTTTTACGTCCCTGCACTTGTGTAGCTGAAGATGTAGCAACACCTCATTGACAGTATTTGGTCAACTTTCTGTAATTGGTATCAACGTATTGCCTGCCTTTCGAAGGCAGTGCGGGGCGACTGTGTTTTCTGGTCCGCACTGCCACCTAAAGTGCGTCACTTTCCAATTTTCTACGCGTGCACTATGCATGCTTCAGAAGGCCTAAAATTAAACGAGAAACAGTTCTTTATGCTTACCATTCTTAAGTCTTACAAATAAAATCGTCAAAAAAAAAAAAGGCTTCGTTTGGTTTCGTTCACTTACGCCGACGGTGTGCTGTCGTCGTTTCGATTGTGGCTACGCCTCACGGCGCGGCTGCAAAGCTCTCAACATGCCACCGGCTTGACCAAAGTGCATGCTTGCTACCGCGCTAAATAATAATGCTTAAGTTAACAGACCATTTTCTCATTGGCCTGGCAGAAACAAATGCAGTTTTATTAATTCTGATAATGAAACAGTTGCAGGAATTCACAGGTAAAAAAAATTCGGGAGATCTCACGTATCTGGGAATCGATGTTATGCGAAGCACGCGGAGAGAAGGTGGCCGTGCTGCAAATTTTTTATTGAATGACACATCATGAAATGACGCTAAGTATATGTACAAATGTTGCATGCACAGACATATGTTGAAGAGTTGCAGATGTTTATATAACTAGTTGTTTTCACTTGCGCAATGGTGCCAACTGGAGCATGCGTATTAGCAACACTAGAAGCTGATATGAAGCACTGATGCTCGCGAGGATGCTGGCCCTGGACACTGCTACATAAATATATTTAAACGCATGGCAACTAACCACAACTGATGTTAATTCGACGTGACGGCTGTGTCTATGGAGTACATATGCACGGCCACCTAGATCGGGCACGCGCTGCGGTGTTTCTCTGGCCGTTCCATTCGGCGCGCCCCATTGAAAAAATGTAATTGGAGAAGTTTTGCCGCACACCGCAACGCGGCGCTCTTCTTGAACTTCCCTGCAGATGACGCCGAGGGCGCCGCACCGTAGACACGCTTGGAGAAATGCACATAGGACGTTATTCACGTGGTGACTGGAATAAAGGAACACTAGCCTAATATTTACTCTTAGTCGGGCTTGAAGCAGTGAGTGTTGTTCTCTGTAGCATGCTATGATTGAGACAGAGCCAAGCAGCGTGAGGCGACTGCGTGTGGCGCAGCTTGTTTGCAAATTTCGCTTGCATGACACATGTGTTAAGCTGACAGATTACGCGATCTGCCGGGCTTTTCATTCTTTGTTATACAGTGCAGTCCACTTATAACGATATCGAGAAAACCTAAAAATATGATCGTTATAACCGGTGATCGTTATATCTGGACTGCCGCCAAAAAATCGTCGCCGGACGTACCTTTTGTAGCTCCAGGCTTCATTTTGCTATTTTCACCAATTAATAAATATTGTAGATAGTAGGATGTCAAAAACAAGACTTTATTTCTTACTCCGAAGAACGCATCACGGATTCGCTGAGGAAGAGAGACTGACCGACGGCGGGGTGGGAGCAGTGGGAGGAAGAAAGCACAGCCAGAGGTACACAGCCGGAATGCCAACGAGGCCCCGCCCCCATGCCGCCGCGCCACTTTGCTTTTTGCTTTTTTTATTTTCTCTCTCTTCCCGCTGTCGTTCGGCAAGCTACGAGTAGCTTGCCGGCTTGCCGTTGTAGAAGGCGGGGAGCCGCGGAGCGCGGCGCTCTGCTTTTCGCATTTTTTTTTAAATTCTCTCAGCCTCTCCGCGGTCGACGCGCGGCGAGGCGCAAAACGTGACACAGCTGGCGCCATCTGTAGCGCGTCGCGCCAACTCGCGATGCTCTCCTCGTCTTTTTGAACGGCCGGGACGCGCTGCCGGCGCTGTCCTGCAGTGGCGGCAGATACGTACTCGCCTACGCTAACTTTTCGTCTTGTCTCGGCATAGTTCGTTTCAGAAGAACTTATCAATCTAAATGTTACGATTATTCTGAATGAAACATGCCGTCCACGGCAAACTTTTCATCGTTGTATCCGATATGCGGTGGATAACATATCGTTATATATGGTTTTTTTTCCCCATAGCCCCAATGCATAAAATGAGACTGTTAAGTCGACCCATCGTTATAACCGATATATCGTTATATGTGGTATCGTTATAAGTGGACTGCACTGTAGCGATCGTTTTTCCCACTGCCACCTGAATCGGTTAGTGTCAATATAGGCGGCCTTGTTCTGCAAGAAATGCATTTTGTCGTTGTTGACCCTGCATATATATAGCTATGTTACGCAGTCCAGCTCTGTCATCACAGCATCAGATTGCTGGAAAACTAAAACATAGTGCTGGCAATGCTACAGTCGTTTTCACCTGCACGATGATCGGCAAAATTTTGTTTCGGACACGACACTGAGAATTTCCAAGTTCGCACGGTACGACAGTGTTACGAATGTGACTTTCTCATCTAAGCGCAGGCCGCATTTAGGCGAGCTATGAACGTGAAAATGATAGGCAATGCTAGTCGACTGCGAAGTATAGGGTGCCAGGGATCGGTCGCCCCATTACCAAAGTACTTTCTTTCACTCAGGTGAATCTTGTCATTTTAAGGGAAGATGCGGGTTGAAAAATCGCGTTTTTAGCGAAATTTCTCGTATTTCTGACTTTTATTGCATTGTAATCTTCAAACCTTCTTCTTTCATCTGTGAAAATTTCAAAACTAAATTCGAACCGCAAAATGCAAAAAAATGTGTATGAAGGCATCGCGGTGGCTCAAAATTTCGTAAATTTGTGCTGATATTGGCCATCTTTGACTGCGCGCTGCTCCCCTTCGTAGTGCCGCCCGCCATCGCGATTGGTTGGGAAAGTTGCGTCCGGCCTTCTTCTTACAGCTCCGACGACCGCCAGTTTCGTACGTGGGCAAAAAAAATTAAAAAACGAGGCCTTTTTATCACGTGGTTTGAGCGGTTTGAAACGCGCGGAACCCTAAGCCGCATCGCCATTGGCTACCGAGTCATTGTCAGCTGTGTTGGTGGCGGCCATCGGCATTTGGTCCGTCTGCTTTTCTGCGCGTCTACACATATTTCTGCGATGACAAGCCCGAAAAAGTGCAACGTGAGACCGCAGAAGTTTCGAACGAAGCACAAGTTCAAGGGAAGGCGGCATAAAGCGCCCCGAACGACGGCGACGAACGAGAACGCACCTACGTGTGCTAGGCCTGACGGCGGCATCGACGAGTGCGCGAGCGACAGTGGCTGCGATGAAGGGATTGACGCTGCGCTTTCTTTCATCAGTGCTTCGGAAAAGAAGCTCAGCTTCTTCGAAAAAGACGAAAGACAGCGCGATGAGGTTTGTGCAACGACAGTTTTGTGCGACACCCTCTTGCTGACGGCACTTGTGGCAGGTGCGGCATGCCCTGCTTGCGGTATTCAAAAACTTGCCATTCGGAAGCCGGCAGAAAAGCGCAAGGGACTTTCGTCGCTCCTCGAACTTCATTGCGAAAACAGTGAATGCTCAGCAACTGTTCTTTCGTGCTCCTATACGTCACTGCGTGTTACGGCGGACGGCACCAGCCGAGTGAGCCAACGCTACGACAGTGGGAGCTCCCGAGATAGTTTCGCTGTAAATATGAAGGCGGTGGTGGCTGCACGCGCTGTCGGCATTGGGCATGAGCAATTGTCGAGATTTTGCTCCATTATTGGACTCCCAAAGCCAATGCACCACCGAGAATTTTTTTCGATAGCAAAGAAGGTGCACACCGCTGCCATGGCAGCTGTGAGTGAAAACTTGCGCCGATCCAGAGAGTTGACGAAAGAAGTAGCAGGCGAAACTGAAGTGGCTGTTATGTTCGACGGCACTTGGCAGAAGAGGGGCCACAAAAGCCACAACGGGATTGGCGCAGTTATCTCCTTAGATACTGGCCTCTGCTTAGACTTCGAGGTCATATCAAATT